CGACTATAGCCGGGATCATCGAGTCAGTGCGAATTCAACAATCCTTTTCTTTGCTGCATAGTTAGGTATTTTTCAAAAAGAAAGACAGTGAAGAAGAATTTCGACCAACTTTTCTCTCTACCGTCCACGTGGGCACAAACATTAATTCTTATTACAAATTTGTGATTAAACCCAACGTAAAGATCAAAATCACAAATTTCAAAATGCATTGATTCACATTCCCTACTCTGTTTGGCAGTAAGCCTTGTATCAGTTCTTGGTCGATGTCAATAACTTTCTCTCGCATTTTAAATGCATTACGACAGTAAAAAACGTCTACAATACATTTTTGTTATACGCAGTCCTATTTTGTCGGTAATGCTTGTGTTAATCCTTGGCCATCCACAATATATAAATTCTTGATCTTAGATACACAATAGAGAGAATGAGAAGTCACCAAAGCTAGTTTGTTATTAAAGACAAAAACCCCGGCAAAAATTCAATGTTAATCATTGTTTTTTTTTTTCCCTTCTGTCAGAAATATTCAGTTTATTAATGAGGAAAATGACTAGAACTACAGATGCGGCGAAGAAGTATAGATAAAATTAGTGAATGATAAAGAGCAGAAATATATATATATATATATATATATATATACATACATCATGTCTTGATTTAGAATGCTCAACATACACAGAGAAAAGCACTGAACGACCGTTTTGTCCTTTTAGGACTAATCAGCCGTGAGTATCCTCTACCACTGTAAGAATCGAACCCAGGCCGTTACGATACAACGCAAGCATCATACCATTAGACCAGCGGGTCATGGCGACGCAAAGGCAACTAAGTTACTGGACACAATATAGGGTAACACATCCTATTTACGGTGGGGACACTCATCCAAGTATACATAACCCACAAGACTGGCCCCAGGAGCAACGACTTCCTTCACCGATCCACTCAATCCAGTGCTTTAGAAGCTGGATCTAGCATAGGTTTATATAACTGATTCGTAATTTGGAGATTTGTATAATTTTCATAATTCATCATGTCTAGACATAAAATCCTCAACATACACACACACACAGAAAATCACTGGACGACCGTTTTGTTTTTTTGGAACTCATCAGCAGTGCGCATCCTCTACCGACTCTGAGAATCGAACCCGGACCGTTGCTATTTAACATATAGCCGAGGAAAAAATAAAAAATGGACTCAAGTGCGAAAGTGATCACAACCGACTAGGCCGAGATTTGAACTCGGCTCACCGATTCCGATTTCCACGCCCGTAAACGTATATCCCATCACCTGCATTTACCTGCTTCAAATGCAGTCGTTGTTAAAATACATTCCTTGATATTGTCATATTTTTTTTCTACTGACAGAATTGGTTGTTTCAATACATCGTTAGAGTCGATGGAACTTTTCACGTATCCGTGATAGTTTTTTGCTGTCAAATTTGGAAATGAAAAATGCTTTCAAATTTGAAATAAATTTTGCTTACTAATTCCATAGAAAGTAAAAAAAAACTTAAACTTATTTATTTATTTATTTTATAAGATGTTAGCTTGAAATCACCACGGAGAAGAAACGTTAATAAAAATGGTTTTATCAATTTCAGAAGACGAAAAATTTAGACAAATAACAATGAAGAAATGCAGCTTTATCAAGATTTTTCAACAAATACATATCAACGAAGCGCTGCTTAATAGAATACGAAACCATATTCTTAATACACCCAATGAGAATCCCAACCACTACATTACCAATGACAATTGAGAGAAGTATATTTTTTCTTGATCAATTTTTTTGGAATTTTGGCAAGCATGTTATTCATATATATATATATATATAATTATTTATTTAAAAATATGATTCCAACTCGCGACATAAGAGGTCTCATGTTTCAAAACAAGAGCCGAAAACTTCAATATAATTATTTGAATTAAATTGAGCTAAGGTAAGCTCTGTTCCATCTTCAAGCGAAATTTTTTTGGGAATGTTTTGAAACATGAGACCTCTTATGTCGCGAGTTGGAATCATATTTTTAAATAAATAATTATATTTATGCTCTACTTTTGTATCGAGCACTATTTTTTAAAAATAATAACTAAAATACAAAGGAACTTTGGATTATTTACCTAACCAGTTCTTTCCTATTTTCTATATATTTTCACACACACACACACACACACACACACACACACATATATATATATATATATATATATATATATATATATATATATATATATATTTGCGCCTCAGATCTTTTCAAATATAACCTTTCCCTAACCAACATACACAACTATAAAAAGTTCTGAAATTAAAAAAAAAAACGGTTAAATTCAAAGCCTCCTATAATTTAAAATGTATAATTCATAATTTAATTCCTCAAGCTAAAAAATAAGAATAACAATCACATAAAAAAAGAAAAAAATCAACTAAACATTTACTCACTTTCATTTATGAGACATTAAATTATATCACTTAGCATCCTCCCTAATTTACCTTGACTTTCAGTCAGCCTGAACTATATTTATGAGCGTTCTTAAATTTAAAGATTTTCAAAAACTAACAACATTTATTCTTCTGCCTATAAATAATTTCTGCAAAATAAAATCCTTCCATTTGCTTTGATATTGTCCATTAGCGGTTAAAATAAGTTTTCCTTTTGTCAATATTCATATTGTCTTTTAACAAATATATTTTTAGTTGTATCTGGATTTTAAACACACACACACACACACACACATATATATATATATATATATATATATATATATATATATATATATGCTTTTCACCCCGAGCAAGGTGGGAGTACCACTAGCACTGCTGGTTACAAAGAGTTGGAGCCAGAGTAAAGAGGCGTGATAGAGGAAAAGATTAAGAGAAGGACGGGAAATAGTTCAAAGCATCTGTAGATGTCGATTGACATTGCATTTGAATAATTGAAGATTATAGCTATCAGGGAAACAAGTAAGAGAAAGGGAGTTCCACAGACGGGAGGTTCGAGGCATGAAGCTATTGGAGTAGAAGAGATGGCTATATTTAACCGTTTTTGGCAGGGAAATGGTGGGACTGAGATGCCGACCTAGTGGCACGTTTAAATTCATGCAGTCTGGAAACTAGCGAAAGTTGCTCGTCTGAGTAGTTACCGTGAAAGTATTTGTAGAAAAGACAGAGGGAGGCGACAGCACATCTATGAGAGAGCGAATGTAAACGAGATGCCAGATCAGAGCCAACGACATTGTATATCCGTCTCTGGATTTTGTCGAGAACCTTAAGATGAACAGTTCGGACTCCAGGCGATATATGACAGCAGCATTCCATGAAAGGGCGAATGGTTGATATATATATATATATATATATATATATATATATATATATATATATATATATATATATATATGTGTGTGTGTGTGTGTGTGTGTGTATACTAGGTGTATCTATATATATATATATATATATATATATATATATGTATGTATATATATATATATATATATGGGGGAAATAGGTATAACAAAGTCGAAAATGATTTGTGAGACGCGTTTCATCCGTTAGAACTTCATCGTTGATGCGACTACACAAGCGCACGGACGAGGATGCTGGGAATTTTAATTTAAAGGTAGTTTTTATATACATATGTGTTTTGGGTATATAATCTAGCTGATTTTATTTAGATTCTTTTTGTTTTTATTGTTGTCTCCATTACTTATGTCATTAAAAATTCCACATTGTAATAATAGAAGCTCTGCCAAGAATGGCTTTTTTTTGTTCATTAGAGTAGGATTTTTCATATCAAAATTGTGTTTAGTCTCGTTATGGCGAGCAACTGATGTGTTTAATGTGTTGTTTTGTAAAATATCCCTTTTGTGTTCATATAATATTTTATTTAAAGTCCTTCAATTTCTCTGATGTATTCATTGTGGCAATTATTACAGGTAATAGAGTAAATTCCTGATTTAAGTTTTAGCTTATTATTTTGCTTTGTATTAATTAAGTCTTTTCTTGTTGTAGTTGTGACAAATTTTGCGTTGAATTCAGATAAATTCGTTTCGATTGTAGTTGTGATAGAGTTAGTGTGTCAGTGCGATTGATGTTCAGTCCTTTCTTGCTTTCCTTTTGTCGAAGTTCTTGTAGTTTCCTTTCAGTGTCGTCTGCATATCTTTTGTTGTTAAGATTCTGACAGCCAATAATGAATCCTGAATAATTAATTTTTGTAGGTTCGCCCTTAGTTTGCATATGAATGGAAGGTCACAATCGAAAGTTGGGCATATTTTAATGGCAATTTTAAAATCATTTACTGGTTTAGTTGCCTATTTTATTTTTGCTTTTTCCTTGTGGGCGTTTTTTTTTTTGTATCCTTTAAACCACGTGTAAGTTATTACTTGGCCATTGTGTACCAATGAAATTGTGTACCAATGAACCTACGCTCATTCAGTAATCCAAATTCATACTTACCAACTATTTCACTACCTTGTTTGGTATATTTTGTATTTATGCCCCTATAATAATAATAATAACTTGTGATTTTTCTGATATCTATCTATCTATTTTAAGACATTTTTATGTTTATACATTCTTTTTATAGATACAAATATTTAAGTAAATGCTCTGTTTATAATAAACAGTATTAAACAACATTTACCGACCTGAATGTCCAAGAAATTTTCATAGAAAATATTCGTCCTCCGACAGGATTCGAACCTGCATCCTATACGGAACCGTCATTTAGCTTGACGTGCCTTTACCGATTTGGCCACAGAGGCGCGTTCGGTTAGCAAGGTCGAATTTACTGTATTTGAACTTCGATCTTCTATGAATCTCTTACGTACATTCATATCTGCTCAATGCGTATCAAATGTAAACAAATGACGTCAGACATGATGAAATGGATAAAGTCCGACAATTATTTTAAGACATTTTTATGTTTATACATTCTTTTTTATAGATACAAATATTTAAGTAAATGCTCTGTTTATAATAAACAGTATTAAACAATATTTACCGGCATGAATATCTATCTATTTATCTATCTATCTATCTATCTATCTGACTGTCTGTCTGTCTGTCAATCTTTCTAACTATCTGTCTGTCTATCAATCTATCTTGTGTTGTAAAACGTTTAATCTGCTATCATGTGTATCGGTCCTTCTGCCCTGTGCTCACTAGAACAAAAACCAGAAAGAGTAAATAAAAAAAAGAAAGCAGAATGCATAGTTGTTAGCAAAAAGAATCAGCTCAACATACAAATTACAAATTGGAGATACCAAAATCAAACGCGTACAACAATTTAAATATTTGGGAAATGTTTTAAAAGAGGACGTAAAGTGCAACATTGACATCCGAATGCACATTTGGATAGGGAGAAAATGCCTTCCAAAAGCTAAGCAATGTATTAAGAAAGAAAGAAAAGTGTACTGAACTCTTATGCAATATCAGTCCTCCTCTATGATAGTGAATGCAGGGCCATCTCAGTGGGAATGTTGAGAACACCATGGACCGTTTATGTGATCAACGACGATGTTGAAAATGGACAATTGAAATTTCTAAGACATAATGAAGAAAGATGGCTTGGAAAATTTGTTACTCACGAGATGTATTGAAGGCAAGAAGGACAAGGGAAAACAACGCATAAACTATCTAGCGAGCTTGATCAAGTGGATAGCAAAACAGGGATTGGGAGAGATAACAAAAAGACAAAACTTATTAAGAGCTACAAATGACAGTAAATTGTGGAAAGTCATGATTACCAAAGTTCTGAAGGGACACAATATATAGAAAAAGGCCTCCCTTAAAATTTGGTATTAATTATAAGAACATAAATAAAAAGTAAGTTATAGCTTTTTAAAATAACCATTATCAATTATAAGTTCCTATAATTATATACAATATATATATATATATATATATATATATATATATATATATATATATATATATATATATTAAGCATTACGCCCCGAGCAAGGCGTGAAGCCACTAGGATGCAGGGGGTTGCGGAAGATTTGGAGCGAGAGCAGATAGGAGTGATAGAAGAAAGGATGAGGAGAAGGATAGTTGGTAGATCAAGGTAACTGGAGATGTCGATTGACATTACATTTGAATAGTTGGAGATTATAGCTTTCAGGGAAACAGTAATTGGGAAGGGTGTTCCACAGGCGAGAGATGCAAGGTATGAAGCTATTGGAGTAGAAGAGACGGCTACATTTATAAGTTTCTACAGTGTAAGGGTGGAAGCGCGATGCCAGCCTCGTAGGGCGCTTGAATTCATGGAGTCTGGGAACCAGTGAAAGCAGCTCATCTGAGCAATTACCATGAAAGTATTTGTAGAAAAGACAGAAAGAGGCGACGGCGCGTCTGTGAGAGAGTGACTGCGGACGAGACGCCAGATCAGGGCCAATTAGATTACATATCCGTCTCTGGATCTTGTCAAGAACTCCGAGGTAAGCATAAGGTGCCCCAGACCATATATGGCAGCAATACTCCATGCAAGGGCGAATGGTTGATTTGTATATTTGAAGTATCGATACCGGGGAGAAAAATTTCCTGGCGCGGCACAGAGAGCCAACTTTCCTCGCGGTGGAAGAAGCAATTTGACTCAATGTATTTGTTTCATCTCAGGTCAGCAGTCAGCGTGAGACCGAGCAGACGCAGGGAGTTGCTCTCAGGAAGTTGACTATCAGACATTTTAATGGGGGGGACAGGGAAGGATCTCTATGGTGGTTAATTCTATCTACTTTATGATGCACAGTCAAATTTTGGTGACGGCGCGCATTATGCAAAGTGAAAATCATATTTTCTCTTTCCACGTGTCCCAAGCCGTATCACATGTATCGAAAGAAAACTATTTAGGAATTGATTTTGTTTAGCGACATATCAACACTATGGGTTATTTAATGCTGAAATCTAAATATTTTGTACGTAATTTTATGCCATCAAATAGAGATTTTGTCCACCATTTTGTACTTTCACGGTAAACGTATGTCTGTCAGATATACCGTAGATAAAATTTACTATTTCTATTTGTTTGGGTGTTCACTATTTGCTCATAACGACGACCATAACAAGTGCTACTACCCCAAGTCAAAGTGCACCTTGGAACAACAACAGCAGTTAAGAGGTGGTTCCATGCTCCTCCAATCTCGCAATCAGAGACCTTGCTGCTGGATGCAGTTTGTCGTCATACCCAGGACGCTCTCTCGGGAGAATGCACAAATACGAGATATACCTGCTAGAGCATGGACAACGAAACAAGAAGACTTAACCCCGTAGATTGAATAAAGTGTTTAGTTTGAAATTACCATTTTACCGAATACGAGGTTGACCAGAAGGTATAGCAACTGAAACATCGTGACCTATAATATGATGTGGACATTAGTCCGAGTAGATTAACATGGAAGAGTGATAATTAATCATTTCCAATTTTCAGAGAGAAAACTTTATTTTTACCAATTATTTTAAAATTCCAAACACGAATACTCGTTATTTTAATTGTCATATTTTCTGTTTCCAAATATTTCTGTGAGCTGCATGAGTTGTAATGTTTTATTCATGAAGACTATTGATCCACTGGAATCAGTGTTTGACATTAGAATCGAAACTGTCATTTCTAATTCGGCGGAAGCTTTTCAATTTATCATCAAAATTCACAACCAATTTTCCCACAAGTGAGACGACCGTTTTGATCAGCGGACACCGTAGGATGAAAATGCGAATATGCAATCGTCTTTGTGAGAGCTTGAAAATATTTTTTCTCGAAATCATTATATGTCTATAATAAGTTGTTTCGAAAAAGAATCCTGGTTTATCGACGTTGTACAGAAATCGTTGGCTTTTCCTGAATTTTAGTTCATTAAATTTTGATGCGAGATCCTTCTACACTGCCTTGATGAAAATTTCGTACACGAGCCTAGCATAAAATAAATAAATAAAACAGATTCAGCGCGATTCCAGTCGATAAAGAGACTCACTAAGCTGTTGGTATATACTACCAAGCGGCACATTTAATTCGTTAGTTCTATCGAAAAATAAACCTGGAGATCGAAATGTTTTAAATCATTGACCTCTTCAGAGAATACTTGATCATTCATAAACGTTCAGTCATTTATAAAAATATCAATAATAATTGTTTTTTTGTTTTTTTTTTATTTAAGGATAGAAGTTATTTTTCCTTTTCCACCATTATTTTATTTTATTTATTTATTTATTTTTCTTTTTTTTTACAATTTTTATTTCTCTTCTTATATTACACGTGTTTGAATAATAATAATAATAATAATAATAATAATAATAATAATAATAATAATAATAATCAGGTTGCACGGTGTTGGCACTCACTGAATATAAAACCCGACATGACAGAGTGGGCCAATATCTGCACTGGAAAATCTGCAACTTCTACGGAAGGAAACTGAAAGAAAATGGTATGAACACCACCCAGACCCGGTTGCGGAGATAGGACCTGTTACAATTCTATGGGACTACACAATACACACTGACAGAACAATCAAGGTCAATCGGCCAGATATTGTTATTAAAGACCACAAAAAAAACGGTGCCTCCTTATTGACATGGCAGTCCCTGCTGACTGCAATGTATCTTTGAAGATATTCAAAAAGTTGTCAAAAATACAAGGACCTTGAAATAGAAATCTCGAAAATGTGGCATATGGAAACATCAACAATCCCTGTTGTAGTTGGAGCCCCTAGGACTGGTTGGAAAAAAATTGCAGTAGACTAATTGAAGGGATTCCTGGAAGTCCATGCCTCAAGGACATACAAAACATTGTTCTGACAAGTACAGCCCACACCTTACGAAGGGCTTTATCTATGTAATTTTTTTTTTTTTTTGTCAGTGGAAAGTGTCATTACGCCATTTCTAACCTTAGGTCCCTGGGCGGGACCCGGAAAGAAATGTGTAAACGTCAGAAATCAAAGAAAATAGATAATAATAATAATAATAATAATAATAATAATAATAATAAATTATAAAAATACAACGACTTTGAAATCAAAGTCTCAAAAATGTGGCACATGAGAACATCATCAATTCCAGTTGTATTAGGTTGGTGCAAAAATAATGTCGTTTTTGACGTTAAGTTAAACGTCAAAACGACATTATTTTGCACCAACCTAATAGTCGGAGCCCTCGGATTGACTGAAAAAGATTCCGATTGACTCATTGAAGGGATTCCTGGTAGCACAAGCCTTAAAGAAATACAAACGATTGTAATCACAAGTACAGACCACATCTTACAAAGGGCTCTGTCTATGTAAAATGTGTGTGATCTTAGGGTTTTTCGGTTTTTTCTTATTTTTCCTCGGAAAATGCCCAGTGGAAAATATCATAATGTCATTTCTGACCTTAGATCTCTTGTTGAGACACGGAAAGATAATGAGTATACACCAGAAATCAGAGGAAATAATAATAATAATAATAATAATAATAATAATAATAATAATAATAAGAGTTATCATTAGATTTTGGGGGCCTATACCACAGAACTTAAAAGTCAAAAATCAGAATAAAGTCGAGTATCCCATAGCTTCAGAAATCTGCGATCGCTTTTGCACTGCAAATATTCTACGAAAGGTGCTCTCACACTCACACACACTCACGCTCTCTCACTCTCTATCTCCCACTCTCTTTCTCTCTCTCTCCCAATCGTGCTCTCTCTCTCTCTCTCTCTCTCTCTCTCTCTCTCTCTCTCTCTCTCTCTCTCTCTCTCTTCCTCTCTCAGGTCGTACGACTCAATGGAAAACTCAAAATAAGGCAAGATCTCTTTCTGTCTCTGTCTCTGTTTGTGTGTGAAAGAGAGGTTGCACGACTTAATGGAAGATTCTCATAATACAAGATCTCCGGTTGAAAACGAAGAACTATGTGGAAGAAAATAATAATAAGGATTTTATTTATTAATTTAAAATTTACCATTAATCACAAAGATAAGTAACCAAAACAACCTACAGAACACGCATTTTTAACACGATCCTTATTGCTAGACTGACTCAGTAGGTTGGGTACTAATAATTGTTTGTTGAGTTGGCATTTCCATCAAAAGTTACAATCACAGCGCATATATCTTACCCTTGACGAGTCGGAATATAAATCATTGAAGGATCTATCTATCTATCTATCTATCTATCTATCTATCTATCTATCTATCTATCTCTCAGTTCATTCATATCTATCAGAATTCATTCTATCTATCTATCTATCTATCTATCTATCTATCTATCTATCTATCTATCTATCAGTTCATTCATATCTATCTGAATTCATTCTATCTATCTATCTATCTATCTATCTATCTATCTATCTATCAGTTCATTCATATCTATCTGAATTCATTCTATCTATCTATCTATCTATCTATCTAGCTATCTATCTATCTATCTATCTATCTGATCGTCTTGAAACGAACAGGTTTGACTTTATTTTGCCAACAATTTCTCTGCTCCATATCTCTGATTAATTGTTCCTTTCCGGTTCCGGTCTTATCATTAAGTTGAAGGCGTTTGTGTCTCTACCTCTTAATCTGTTTCCATAAATTGGATGCCGTACTATAAGCCAGTGTTTCTCAGCCTTTTTTTTTTCTTTTTCTTTTCATTTCCGGGCGCACTTGTAGAATAACTAAAACTCTGGGGCACACTTTAAATTTTAATAAGGAGAAATGAAACTTTGAAATAGGAAAATGATAAAGTAGCCTTCTGAAATAAGCATTTATTTTTGAGACATTACATTGTATATTTAAGTATTCTTGTGTGAAACATGTAATTGATGTGCTTTGGCAATTGTTTGAATGTTAGGCCTTATGTGTGATAAATATACTCTCATTTCTTCATCAATGCATTTAATATTTGATCTATTTTCACATTCAATGTTCGTAAGTGCATTAAATCCTAATTCACAGATGTCTGATGTGGAAAATTGCAATAAAATGTTCAATTCTTTATTACCTCTTGAAGGATGTTCTTCTTGAATGAAAATCCTGAAATTGATCGACACCTCTTTATGCTTGATTTCTAAGACACGATCAGCAGATATAATGATCAATTCCTCGTCTTCTGTTGACGATAAGCCGACGTCATCAGTTGAAACGTCAATAAAAGGACGTATTGTTCTGTGTTTAGAGATGGCAAGTGATAACTCCGATTAGCTTCCAGAGTTGTTAAACGATTCACTTTTGCAAGGATTAAATTGTTTATATGGCCGTTTCTAACCAAAAGGAACATTAGTTATTTGGATCGCACTTTAAATTTTCATGAAATTTTAAAATAGGAAAATAATAAAGTCTCCTGAAATAAGCATTTATTTTTAAGACATTTTCATTGTATATTTGAGTATGTTTCTTTGAAAGCTGTCTTTGGTGTGCTTTGGTAAAAGTTCGAACGTTAGGCTTAATATGTGATAAACATTTCCAAACAGCCTGAATTAGCTTTCCTTTTCCAAATCATTAGGTTTTTTTCTGGAGTGCTTTAATTTTGTGCCCCTGTCTCTTTATCTCTCTTTAATTCAGAGTTGAAATGGCTAGATGTAACCGTAAGTTCTATGTTAACAGTTTCTTCTCTCGCACTTCTCGCTTGTGAAACTGTCTTCCGGCTCCATGCTTTCCATCTAACTTTGATCTTCAAAAATTTAATAATGTTCCTCTTTTTATTTTTTTTTTCACATTCAATAACCCCTTGTAAAGTAGTATCTTTACTGCCTTGCATAGGATGATATGATTAATATATATATATATATATATATATATATATATATATATATATATATATATATGGTTGGATAGATGTGAGTTTGTGACCCTGGGTTTCACGCTTTAGCGATCGTCAGACAAACTGATTAATGTTTTAAAACATTTGGGTTTATGTAGATTGCGTGTATTGGTGTTATTGTGGAAGTGGGGGGGGGAATTTCCAGGGTCACAAACTCACATCTATCCAACCAAATATGTTAGCTCTATCTCTGATATTGAGCGCTTTCTATTAAGTACCGCGCATATAATATATAAATAATTATACATATATATATTTATTTATATTTATATACACTTTTCACATATATATATATATATATATATATATTAGTGAATATGCATAATATCTAACGTCGATAGCGCTGGTCGGAGTTTCATTTAGTGGCTGCAATCTTCAGGTGCAAATACAATCTGAACGTTAATTGTTAAAATTTGTTTGTTTAATTATTGCTGCTTAAAATATTAGAATATTTCACACACACGCACACACACAAATATACTCCACACACACACACACACACACACACACACACACACACACACACACATATATATATATATATATATATATATATATATATATATATATATATATTTGTTGTAACCTAGGGAAGGTTACTGAATATAATAATCAAACGAAGGTTGGTAATGAACGATAATACTTAGGACAAGAACAACACATATAAGATTCGCCAGCGGTGCATAGAAGAAGTAGTCAATTGCTAGAAGTGAAGTGAATTCCACAATGAATCTTCAATTGCAAGATATCTACCAACCGACCGACGCGGTCAAATGTGGCACAAGGCCGAATTTAATGTAGGGTATCCAAGCCCGTAGGCTCGGCCTAAAATTACCTTAGAACCCGTATAAAGCGGGGTCAGGTAACTGTTTTCCGAGATGAGACTCTGCCCTTTAACATAACCTCATCTTGGGATCCTCTCTGATCAGAGGCAGAGAGTTTGACCAGAACAGCTGGAGACGAATCTCCAATTGCAGGATATCTGCCAGCCGCCTCACGCGGTCACAAAGCCAAATTTAATGTGGGGTATCCGAGCCCGTAGGCGCGGCCAAAAATTCCCCGTACACCCTGTATAAAACGGGGTCGGGTAGCTGTATCCCTAGACGAGACTCTGCCCTTTAACATAGCCTTGTCTGGCGATCGTCGCTGCCCAGAGGCAGAGAGTTTGACCTACATAGCTGGAGACGAATCTCAGACCAACATACAGTATTTACTAATGTATTTATGTGAATTGGGACGTACCCATTTTCGTCCGTAGGTATGCTACACGAATATATATATATATATATATATATATATATATATATATATATATATATATAATTTCATAATGCATAGATAAATAAAGATGTTAAATAACTTTTCTAGCAACTTGGAATTTGTCCTCATCTTTGTCGCCGTATTTATTACAACGTTTCAGCCGTTGTACGCTCCGGCCTTCTTCGGGTGGTTGGAATGTCGAACGGAAGCCTTTATTTCGCTCACTGGTGTAGACTGTTCTAGTTCTACGTGCCATGTTTAATGTTAATTCCCTTCTCCAAGTTCTCCACTGCCTTAACCGGGTATTGAACTCATACTCTTTGGGTCCTGTCACTGGATCTAACTAACGCCTTTATCCACTGTGCCATGTGTTTTTGACGCCGGGGCGTGCAACGGCCGAAATTTTGTAATAAATATGGCGACAAAGATGAGGACAATAGTCCGAATAATGTTAATAGTGTAACTCGAATTTTTCTTCTTGATCCTAACAGCGCCATTTAAAAGGAGATCCGCTGTTTATATTCGTCTCCGATACGAACCCATTGTCATTCTTCTCATATATCGCTGATCATAAAAGTTTAACTTGTTAGTGAATGAACGATTTGAATGCCACAGCTACTAAATATTTTATTATCTGTTGTTGCCTTTGAGGTTTACGGCTTTCGGGAGTGTTCCAAGGCTCAAAGCAGTGACGTTTGACAAAAGAATTAACGGTTTTATCAAACAAACTACATCACAGACTGTAAACACCAAGAAACCGATAACTCTTTACTTCCCTTGTAAACAAAAATCTAATTAACACGGATTTTCTCAGCGAAGATTGATGTGATCTAATATGGAAAAAATAAAAGTTTAAATCTTCTTCGTGACAAAATAGCGAAATATTGTACAAATGTTTTTCGGCAAATCATTTTGCGAATTTATGACTTCAAAACCGGTAGAGTAATTGGCTATGGTTAAATGCAATTGACAGAAATATCCAACAAACAGAATTGACTGAGTTTGCAATAAACAATAACAAAAGAAAGAAAAGAACACGTTAAAAAAAATAATACTAAGGAACAATATATGTGCAAGATAAGAATAGGAAAAGGAAAAGTTCAGAAACTAAGAATGTTGTTAACACACAAAAACCCAAAATTCAAGAAAAAACAGAAATACGGTGGATCAAACTGACAAGTAGCTACGAAGAAATCCCAGCATGCATCTGTAGGATTTGTCTATAAATTTGGGGAAGATGTTTTTACAGACATCTTCTCAATTGGAATGGAAGCAACCAAACCACTCAGGTTTCAATAAAGAAAAAAGATTTCCTGTAAGTCTGCTTTTCATTTTTTTTTTTTTTTTTTGCATTCTCGAAGAGAATTTAGAATAATTTCTATATATCACATGATTCCGTATAAAATATTAGAAGGTTGGTGCAAAATTTCCCATTGACACCTGATATTGAAAAGTTTCTATCTGCAATTTTCCATGTTTTTTTCTTTTTCTTTTTTTTTGTTAGTTATGGCCCATACTATTTTCTTTCTTCAACGCCCTATATGACCACCTAAATTTCGTACAAAAACTTCGTTAATCTCGAGAAAATTTAGAACCATCCCTGCCTCCCATGAGAATGTCTGACGCTCAACTCCTCCTCTTTGCGACTGCTCGGTCTCACGTTATCCGCTGACTTGAGATGGAACAAATAGATTGAGTCCACCGCTAGGAAAGTTGGCTCCCTATGCCGCGACAGGAAATTTTTCTCGCCGGAGTCGATCCTTCAAATCTACAAATCAACCATTCGCCCTTGCATGGATTATTGCTGCCATATATGGTCTGGAGCCCCTACTGTTTGTCTCAAGGTCCTTGATAAAATCCAAAGACGGATATGCAATGTAATTGGCCCTGATATGGCATCTCGTCTGCAGACGCTCTCTCACAGACGTTCCGTTCCCTCTCTCTCTCTCTTTTTTACAAATACTTTCGCGGTAACTGCTCCGATGAGCTGCTTTCGCTGGTTCCCAGATTTCATGAATTTAAGCGTTCAACTAGGCTGGCATCTCGCTCTCACCCTTTCACTGTCGAAACTGTTAAATGTAGCCGTCTCTTATACTCCAATAGTTTCATGTCTCGCACCTCTCGCCTGTGGAACTTCCTCCCCATTTCTTGTTTTCCTGATAGCTATAATCTCCAACTATTCAAATGTAACGTCAATCGACGTCCCCAGATGCCCTGATCTGTCCCCTAACCTTCTCTTCATCCTTTCCTCTATCTCTCCTCTTTGTTCTCGCTCCTACTCTGAAACCCTTGCATGCTAGTGGCTTCCCGCCTTGCTTGGGATTGAATGCTTAAAAAAATTATGTAAAGACATGTTTCTGTCAAGTTATGGTTAGCCCAACTTTGAAA